TTTACCAGGCTGTAATTGGAAGTGTACTACATTATGGTTATACTGTGTGGTTTGGAAACATTACAGTTCAATCTAAAGCCAAACTGGCACGTCTGGTAAAGACAGCTATGGGAATTATAGGGAAAAGGGAATATCAAACCTTGGAATCATCTTATGAGCAGTCGGTTTTTAAGAAAGTCACTAAGATACTATCTGACCCCTCACATTGCTTATACTCTTGAGTATGAGTTGCTGCCGTCTGGTAGACGATACAGGCTGCCTGTGTGCAGATACAAACGTTTTAAGAAATATTTTGTACCTACGTCAATCAGACTTTTAAACATGTAATTTATTTATGTTACCCCTTGTTGGTTATGGGTGTTATTGTGGCTTGGAATGTGTTGTGCTTATGTGGATATTTTATTATGCAATGTAATTTTGATCAGTGTATGTGTATGCAGGCTCCAGGGTCCAAGACAAATTTCCCCATTGGGGACAATAAAGTGTATTGAATTTAATTGAATTTAATTTATGACATTAACTGAAATAAGCGAAAAATGATGTTTACAAATAAAATATCCATATTTCCATTCCAAAGATAACATCCAACATAAATCTATGAACATATTCAGGTGAGGTAACCGACATGTCCCTTCACTCTCACGCTCACTCTCACACTCACACTCACTCTCACACTCACTCACTCACTCTCACACTCACTCACTCACTCTCACACTCTCTCACACACTCTCTCACACACTCTCTCACACATCATCATCATGATTCTCTGATTCACTCACCCTCCAGGAACATCAGCCATCGCCGGCTGCCTCGTGACTCCTTTATGTAGTAGCTGAATCAGAAAACACATAAATATGATTAATTTCATGTTTTTGATTTCTGATGCATTCCTGTACAAGAGTAGATCATGGCATTCGCAACACCAAAGTCATGGGTTCAATTCCCAGGGAAACCACCTTGAATGCAATACGAGCTGCTCTGGATAAAAACGTTTGCTAAATACATTAATGCAAATATTTGTTTTGAATAATCAAGACTTTATGACTTTTCTGCTCACCGAGGCTGCATTTATTTGATCAAAAAATACAGTACAAATTGTGAAATATTATTATAGTTTTAAATAACAGTTTTCTATGTGAATACATGTTAAACTAATTTATTTCTGTGATGCGCAGCTGTATTTTCAGCATCATTACTGCAGTCTTCAGTGTCACATGATCTCCAGAAATCATTCTAATATGCTGATTTGCTGCTCAAGAAACATTTCTGATTATTATCAATGTTGAAAACAGTTTTACACTGAAGAGCCTGTCTATAGGGACCAGATATGCAAATTAGCCTGTTGTAATAAACAATGCATCACTAATACAAATAAATAAAGTCAAAGTCACAACATGAAACACAAGAACTGATTCTAAAAGAGCGATTCGTTCAGTGTGAATCAAACAGATCTGTTCATTACTGAATTGAATGTCTTTGAATTAAGCTAACAAAAAGGATGCAGAATTGCAATGTTTTCTATTTGAAGTGATTGAAATTCTGCACGTTGCATTTAGTTTATATATTTAATGTATTTACTTTAGTAATGGAAAAACTCAATTTCCCAGAATGCATTGAAATGCAAATCTGTAAATTCCTCCTGTCATTCCAGTTCAGATTCCGGCTCAACTTCCTGTGTGTTGTGGTTCATTCAGTTCAAATTCAATCTCATGAACTGAAAAGCAGTTCTATAATTCAGAACATCGCTCAACCCTGTTCTGAACAGCTGCTGAATCTGAATCTCTCTCTCTCTGTTTACAGACATCAAGCTGGAGTGTGAAGAGATCAGAATAAAGACATCAGACACAGAGATCGTTTCATCTCTCAAAGAGTGAAAAATTTAAGGGGGTCTGAATACTTTCCGTACCCACTGTATATATGACATTAAGCATTCTTAATTTAATTGGAAGAATTAAAAAAATGCTTAATGTCATTTAAACGTATGACTTCAGGTCAAATACATCTACGTATCTGATTAACATTTATAACTTATAAGTAGATTGCATAAGGCATGGTAAAGATTTTATGTGTTTTTGGATTGGCTTTTTAAAGTTTTAAAGATTCTGAAAGTCACCGATCGAACCACGTGCGCGTGACGTCACTCCTCCCACCTGCGGCGCGTGCGTTATTTGCGTACTTTCACTCGAAATCATAAGTCTCCCAGAAGATGCCGAGACAACCCGAACTGCAGCGATTCTCCCCGGATCATTCCCACCATCTCTGCTGCTGTCTGGGAATGTGAGGAATTAATGTCTCTGATCCTCCGCCGCACGCTTCACTTCAGTTTGACTTTAATTATGGCGGTTTCGGTAATTAGGCCTATCTGGCTCGTGCTATTAAAAGAGAGCTCCCTTAACGAAACAACAGACTTAAAATGTGTTTAAATAAAATAAGGATACCATACACATATAACCCTGCAAAACATTCTTCAAGTAACATTAATAGAACGTTTGTTCAAAGTTGTCTGCTCTTTAATAATGTTAAACATTTATAGGCTACATCATTCATGGAACATTTTAGTTGAACATTCGTCTAACGTTAAATAATTAAATGATGCTACTTGTTTCAGAGCATTCAAAAAACATTCATAAGTAATGTTTCTGTAACGTTTGCAAAATTATAAAATGGAACATTCCCATAACGTTTGCATAACCAAGAAAAACATTTTTAAAACACTCTATTGAACTGTACCATAGTACCACCATAGTATATTTATAGATAGGTAGAGATTATTGTTTTGTTTAATTATATGTTCCTAGCTAACAGAGCGTGTTCTCACATTTTCAGAACATCCTTAACGTTCTAGCAGTGTTCTCTCAAAGTTACGAACAAACGTTCCTCCAGTAACATTAATGGAATAGTTCTCAATGTTCACAAGAACATTATCTGTAAATTTTTTAGTTAAAATGTTATAGTTGAATGATTGTTTGACATTTTTTGAATGATGCTACTTGTTCAGAACATACAAAAGTAACGTTTCAATAACGTTTGCAAAATAATAAAGTTGAATGTTCCCACAACGTTCGCATAACCGAGAAAAAACATTTTTAAAAACTTGTTTTGAATGTTGAGAGATCACTTAGAAGTAACGTTCTCGTAATGTTCGCAAAATTATAAAATTAAATGTTCCCTTGATGTTCGTATAACTAAAAAATTTTTTTTTTTAAACTTGATGTTTTGAACGTTGAGAGAACATTCAGAAGTAACGTTCTCGTAATGTTCGCAAAATTATAAAATTAAATGTTCCCTTGATGTTCGTATAACTAAAAAATTTTTTTTTTTAAACTTGATGTTTTGAACGTTGAGAGAACATTCAGAAGTAACGTTCTCGTAATGTTCGCAAAATTATAAAATGGAATGTTCGCTTGATGTTCGTATAACTAAAAAATAAATTTTTAAAAACTTGTTGTTTTGAACGATAAGAGAACATTCAGAAGTAACGTTCTCGTAATGTTCACAAAATTATAAAATAAAATGTTCCCTTGATGTTCGTATAACTAAAAAA